GGGACCCTGGAAGTGCCCTGTGGCCTATCTCTCTAAAGGAGTAGATCCTGTGGCCTCAGGATGGCCTTCATGTCTTTGGGCAGTAGCTGCCACAGCTTTACTGGTCAAGGAGGCTGATAAGTTGACCCTTGGACAGGACCTAGTCCTAACTGCCCCTCATTCAGTAGAGACTCTGCTCGGGGGGTGGGGGCTGCTAACAAATGGCTGTCAAATGCCCACCTCACTCAGCATCAAAGCCTCTTGCTCGACCAGCCTCACATCATCTCAGCAGAGCAGTCCTCAATCTTGCTACTTGCTACTGGATGATAACCCAATTCATGACTGTGAGGAGGGGCTGGGCCAGACCCAGGGAGCTGATCAGACTTAACAGACACCCCCTTGGCTGAGGCAGATGCCATCCTCTTCACAGATGGAAGCAGCATGGTGGTAAGCAGGGTATGGAGGGTGGAAGCTCCAGTAAGTACAGTTGATCAAGTCACTTGGGCCCAGCCTCTGCCTGAGGGGACCTTGGCCCAAAAAGCAGAACTGATTGCCTTGGCCCAGGCCTTGAGATGGGGAAAGGAAAAGATAAATGTGTACACTGACAGTAGGTATGCCTTTGCTACTCTACATGTCCATGCGAGGATCTACAAGGAGAGAGGGCTTCTGAGAGCTGCAGGAAAGACTGTCAAGAACAAAGAAGAGGGCTGGGGATTTAGCTCAGTGGTTTCGCTGCCTGCTGCACAAGTTCAAGGACCCAAGTTTGATCCCAGGTACCAAAAAAACAAAAAACAAAAAAGAGATATTGTCTCTCCTAAAGGTGGCATGGCTTCCCAAGAAGGTAGCCATCATTCATGTTTGGGGTCACCAAAAGGACAGTATACTCGAGGCTAAGGGAAATCAACTTGAGGACTGTGGAGCCAGAGAGGCAGGCCTGAGGCCAGCTGAACCCTTAGTCATCCTGTCTACCATGAGTCCTCCTCCCCATTTGCTCCCTACTAGCCCTACTTACAATGAAGAGGAAGGTAAAGAAGCAAGCCAGCTGCAAGCAAAGAAGATCCCCAAGGCTGGTGGAAATGTCCAGAGGGTCGGATCTACCTCCCTGGGCATTAGGATGACAGCTCATCCAGCAACTGTAATAGGTCATGCATCTGGGGGCTCCAAGATGACCAGGCTTCTAGCTCCAAGACACTGCTTTACAAAGCTGCAAGAACTGGTCCACCAGGCCTCTCTTAGGTGTCCAACCTGTGTACAAGTAAATCCCCACCAGGGCCCATCTGCACCTCTCTGGGTCAGATTTGGGGTAGGAATCCTGGAAAACACTGGGAAGTGGATTTCACAGAGATCAAACCACCAGCGGGTGTCTATTGCTACCTTCTGGTTTTCATAGATACCGTCTCAGGATGGGCGGAGGTCTATGCTACTTGGCGGGAGACTGCCACTGTGATGGCAAAGAAACTTCTTCGGGAATTAATTCCCAGATTCAGACTACTGGTGTCCATCAGATCTGACAATGGCCCTGCCTTTGTAGCTTCTAGAACTCAATTAGTCAGTAGGGCACTGGGTATAAATTGGAAACTCTGCTGTGCCTATTGACCGCAAAGCTCAGGGCAAGTGGAATGGATGAATTGGACCCTAAAATCTACTCTGACTAAATTGATGTTGGAAACTGGTGAAGGATGGGTCAGCCTGCTGTCTTTGGCTGTCCTTAGAGTTAGATGTACCCCTTATAAAGCAGGTTTTACTCCTTATGAAATTATGTTTGGCAGACCCCCCCCCCAGCTCCCCAAGGTTAAAAGTGAGGCACTAGAAGAATTTCCTAACCAGTCCCTGTTTAAGTATCTCCAGGCTCTCCAACAGGTACAGAACACTGTTCACTCCCATGTAGGAGCTACTCAGCCCCTGCCCAGCTCTACACCATGCCACCCATTCCAGCCCAAGGATACTGTCTTCATGAAGGCTTTTCAGAGTGAAGGACTGACTCCAGCCTGGAAGGGACCCTACACGGTTGTCCTCACGACACCCTCAGCTCTCAAGGTTGACAGAATCTTGATGTAGGTTCACCATTTGTGGGTCAAGCAGGCAAAACAGTGGACTGCTGAGCTGAGACCTGGTCCTTTAAAGCTAAGGCCAGTTCAATCATGATTGTAATGGTTGTCCTTATTGTCCTTGGGCCGACAAGGCTGAACTCTAGAGAGATGCAACAAGGAGAGGTATACTCCTTTCTACTCACCTCCTTTAGCTCAGGAGAAATTCTAGGTAATGTCACTTTTGGTACCATCTGCCCTTGGCAACCTCTCAGGCTGCCTGAGGTCTATCTCTGTAAATTAGTCAGAAGAGATTGGGGAAGCTACTACTATCCATTCATAAACCTGGGAGGCCATGACTTTTATGTGTGTTCAGGATTCAATCCATTTTGGACAGTGGCATTGTGGGTCCCCAACTGATTTCTACTGCCCTAACTGGGGCTGTGTAAAGATTGCCTCCTATAGTGGAGGACCAATGTCACTAATGATATTACAGTTTGGAAACGTGAGTGCCGAGTCACAATTCTGATACAAAGGCCCTGGGACTCTAAATGGGCCACAGGATGGAACTGGGGTTTCTGCTTCTGGCTCCCTGGAGGACTAATTCCTGATCCAGGGGAAATCATTGCCTTTCAAACCCAGTTGCTAAGCCGAGCACCAAGGCAGCCAATAGGACCCTTAATGAAGGTAAAGGACCCCTTACTTGAGCCTCACCCTGTTATCTCTTCTTCGAAGCATATGGTCTTAGCTATCAATAGAGCAGACCCCCATGTGTACCCCCTCCCTCCCTTTTCTCCATGTTGGGAGCCATCCACACTATGTTAAACCTGACTCAACCAGACCTGGCTCAGGACTGTTGGCTCTGTCTAAAAGCAAAGCCTCCTTATTATGTGGGTGTGGGAGCCTTGGGCTCAATCAAAGCCTCAAGTACTGCCTTAGCATGCACTTCTGCAAAGCCCTCCTTGACAATTGGTGAAGTTTATGGAAATGCAACCTGTCTGGCAACTTCTTCTTATGATATGAGTAACTCCCCTTTTCATGCTGTGTGTAGCCAAACCATGACTCTGGAGACCTTGAATGTTTATTTTTCCCCTATCGGGACTTGGCTAGCTTGTACCTCAGGACCTCACTAGTAGCTTGTACCTCACTAGTTGTGTCAGAATTCCTGAGGGAGATACTAGACCTGAAGTCTTGTGAATCCTGGTGTGAGTTCTTCCTCATGTTTATGTGTATGGAGGACCTCAGGGATGGGATTTCATAGCACCCCCAGGACTACTGTACAGACAGAAGTGAGCAGCCCCCATAGTTATTCCAATTTTGTTGGGATTGAGGGTAGCGGGCTCAGGGACACTTGGAACTGCTGCATTGGCTAGAGGAGACCTTGGACTCTCAGCTTTGGCAGAACAGGTAGACACTTACCTAGGAAGCCTGCAATATGCCATTGAGACTCTGCACTCCCAAGTAGAGTCACTAGCTGATATGGCCCTCCAGAATAGAAGGGGGCTTGATTTAGTGCCCATGTCATGAGGAGGATTATGTGCTGCTCTAGAGGAGGCATGTTGTTTCTATGCCAACAAGTCAGGTGTAATCCATGATACCCTTCAAAAGGTCAAGGAAAATCTAGATAGATGTCAGGAGAGGGAAAGTAAAAACTCGTGGTATCATAACCTGTTCAATTGGAGCCCTTGGGTAACTACCCTCATCACCGGACTAGCTGCTTGCCTTATCCTGCTTTTTCTCAGGTTCCTGATTGGCCCTTATATTCTTAATTGGATAATCAACTTTGTAAAACAGCGTACAGTATCTGTTAAACTGATGTGTATATGAGATCCTACTACAATCCCTTGTATAACCCCCTGACCAATCAAGAGGCTCTCATTGAGTCAACGCTTTGACATCATGCTTAGAGGAGTTGGGTATGTGAGAGCCAACCTGACTCCATCTTATGCCTCAGTGCCATTTTGTACCTGTGCTGAACAAAGTGCTTGCACATGAACAAAGCATCCAAAATCCTCACGTCCAGCTTGGCAGTAAACTTGCTGCAGGTGCAGGATGTTTTGTAGCTCACCTACTGTGTGTGAAACTTCCTTGTACCCCCCACTAACCTGGCATGGTTCTGCTTAAGATTCTGCTTGTTCTCCCCTGGGCCCTCCCCAACTGAAAGCACGATTTGAAAGGAGAAATCAAACTGCTTCCCATTGCCAAGGAAACTTTCTTTGCACTAGCCCCGCTCAGCCAACGGCTATAATAAATGTGGCAAGTCTCTGTTGTTCGAACTTGCTCATCCACAACAGTACCTCCTGTGTTTCATCTGTGGGTTGGATGTGGCTATGTTATAAAAATGGGGAAGTTTTGTTACTTGTGTGCATTTTATAAATTATATTAAATGTTTTATGTGCTGCCCAAGACAATTCCTCTTCACTCTGTGCAGCTCAGACAAGCCAGAAATGCAGACTGGACCCACCTCAACATAGAGCTACGAACACATAATAATTCTTTTTTTTTTTTTGGTACCAGGGATTGAACTCAGGGCCTAGTGCTTGCAAGGTAGGCAGCAGCACCACTGGGCTAAATTCCCAGCCCAAACACATAATGCTTTAAGCTAGAATCAGAGGCTCTCACAAGAAACAGAAGGGTTAGACCTCTAGAAGGCCAGTTCTTGCAGCTTTTTTTTTTTTTTTTACTGAAACAGTACCTGTGTGGTACATAGTCTACACAAACCTGCGAGTATTTTGTTTTTAAAACTCACAGAGCTGCAGCTTATCAATTTGTACACAAATAGTTACTCAGATCCAGACTTTTTTTTTTTTGGACTGTTTTCTAAAGACAAGGTTTGTAGTTAGCTCCAGATGGTATGTGGGGAGTCCTGGTTTGAGTAGACCTAATTTTAGTAGGATAAATACATATTATATGTAATATTATACAATACATGTTATATAATATTTTTTGTCTTGCTGGCCTCTATTTGTTATAATTAAAGAAAACAGTATGGGAAAAAGGAAAAATGGATAACATTTACTGAGCTTGATTTTACGGCAAACTGTGTTCTAAAAGATTATCACAGATAATTCGTTTAATTCCCCACGAGGTGGGTCTTGCCTGCAGCTCCCCATCCTTTATAACAGAATGTGAAGATCATGAACAATTATCACTCATTCTGGTTCTAACAGTTTAAATTTACTGTGCATCACATTTTTATTTGCTAAAATAAACGCAATTTTTAAATTAAATTCAGCGTACATTTTTAAAAATTTCTGATTGGAGCGATTTAGGGGGATCCTTGATTAATGTCTGGTCAACTCAAAACTGAATATAAGTATCCTATTTCAATTATGTCTCCTTAAAACGTTTACACCCCATTCTAAAACACTGCAATTATTTTTTTTAAAAAAACTTTCCCAAGACCTTTAGAAATCCCAATGCAACAAAATCAATCCTGACTGGTGGATTTCGTTTTGCTAAAATTTAGCTATCCCAACCCGAGGCTCAAACAGTAGTATTTTAAGTGGAAACCCCAGGGTTTCTCCGTCAGCACCTCACACCGGATTCTGAGATGACTTTTGTCACCAGATGAATCGCCTGAACCATCACCTCCGGGAGAGCACGGGCATTCCTGACTTAACGTCTAAATGTGCCCTTTCTGGAGTCCCAGGTAATTTGTCACTAGTGATACTGGGGAGGGGACATTAAGGGGTGGTGGTGGTGACTAAATCCCGTCTCTGGGGAATGGGAGTATGAGCAAGCAGAGGCCCCAGGGAAGCCCAGGCCACCTCGCATTCCTTCCCTTTCCAGGACGGTGGGGTCTGCGCGGTCAGTGCGGCTCTTTTCTCGAGGCAGTGGGTGGCTCTGAAAAGAGCCTTTGGTGTCGGTCACGGGCCGAGGGGCGCGAGCCTCACTTGCCCTTGGCCTTGTGGTGGCTCTCCGTCTTCTTGGGCAGCAGCACGGCCTGGATGTTGGGCAGGACGCCGCCCTGCGCGATCGTCACGCGGCCCAGCAGCTTGTTGAGCTCCTCGTCGTTGCGGATGGCCAGCTGCAGATGGCGCGGGATGATGCGCGTCTTCTTGTTGTCGCGCGCCGCGTTGCCCGCCAGCTCCAGGATCTCGGCTGTCAGGTACTCGAGCACGGCCGCCAGGTACACCGGGGCGCCGGCGCCCACGCGCTCCGAGTAGTTGCCCTTGCGGAGCAGGCGGTGCACGCGCCCCACCGGGAACTGCAGGCCTGCGCGCGAGGAGCGCGATTTAGCCTTGGCGCGCGCCTTGCCTCCCTGTTTGCCGCGGCCAGACATCTCAGATTCTCCAGAACAGGTGCTAAGCCACGGAGCAGCAGAACTGAAGAGAACAGGGCGGCAGGCCCCAGTGAGCCCCTATATAAGATCCGGAGGTAGGCTAGTTGGCGCTGTCCAATTGGATAGCACCCATAGCCAATCAGAAAAGCAACCCTACATCTCCTAATATGCATATGCCTTGCCCTGCGATTACGTAACTCGACGTTCTATCCAATCAGAAGAGACACATTTTTGATCCTTTATTTGAATACAAGCTACACAAATAGCATGGGGCTGTGCGCCCCTTGTGTGTTCGGAGACATCTGCCATCATGCCTGACCCGTCCAAATCTGCTCCGGCCCCCAAAAAGGGCTCCAAGAAGGCCATCTCCAAGGCGCAGAAGGAGGACGGCAAGAAGCGCAAGCGCGGCCGCAAGGAGAGTTACTCCATCTACGTGTACAAGGTGCTGAAGCAGGTGCACCCCGACACAGGCATCTCGTCCAAGGCCATGGGCATCATGAACTCCTTCGTCAACGACATCTTCGAGCGCATCGCGGGCGAGGCGTCGCGCTTGGCGCACTACAACAAGCGCTCGACCATCACGTCCCGCGAGGTGCAGACGGCCGTGCGCCTGCTGCTGCCCGGCGAGCTGGCCAAGCACGCCGTGTCCGAGGGCACCAAGGCCGTCACCAAGTACACCAGCTCCAAGTGAGCGCGCCCCGGCGCTCGAACCCAAAGGCTCTTTTCAGAGCCACCCACACGATCGAGAAAGGGTTTCGAACATGGTGAAGTGTTATTGATAGGCACCCTGGCGGCTCCTTGCTTCTGGGCGCCCAATCTGTCTCTTGTGAGCAAAATGCAGCAATGCGTTTAGTTTTAAAAATAGTAGGAACGGAGGCATAAAGGCTCGCTAACAGATGTGCGTCTCCCCTCCCCCGGAGAATGTTATGCCTCGCCCCCCCCCCCGCCCCGGCGCCCCGTCAACCCCCTGGTGAGCGAGGTCGGGACGCTGGCCACAGCTTGGTGAAGTCCCTGGTTTTTGCGTCACCTTGCGGTGGGGTCTGGCTCTGCGTCTTTTTAAGACCTCTCAATCCTCGCACGGATGAGACAGACATCTTTATCTTCAAGCAGTGAATATTCCAGGGGCGTATTTGCCTGGCAAAATCCAGTAGCAATAAGCTCGAAACCCGGACCACGACTGTGCCCTGGGAGCGAACTGGATGGTTTAAACGACTACAGCTGACCGCAGCTTTGACCTCAGGGGGTGGGGAAGGTTAATTTAAGAGGAAAAAAATTCTTTCGTTTTGAGCAAATGTAGCTGCCTCTCTGGGCACATTATTTTCTGGTAGTGTTCCTAAAACAGAATAACCGTTTTCTTCACATTAGTGGTATTTACTCGGAGAGTGACATTTTGGTTCTAGGGAAGCGTTTTGGCACAAGTCTGCACTCCAGAGAGGACACCGCTTGACTTTTTCTGGATTTGGCTTTTCGTATTTATAAAAAGGGGATTTGTAATAATTTGAATTGTGGGAATTAAAAGTATTGAATATTGGTTATTGTCTTGGCAAATAAGTGCCAGTATATATATCTCCAAGTCGTTTCTCCACAGGGAGCCTGACTTGTGTCTGGGGTGGTGCAGAGGGGTGGACTGGGGCAAGTGTCACCAAGGGAAGCGGTCCCTGAAATGGCTCCCTGCTCTCTTCCTCCGTGGGGCCACTAAAATAATTTCTGAAAATTAAAATTTTAAAGTTGAAAGTATCTTTATCAGATGTTCAAATAGTTGCAAGTGTGCATATCCCAATACAAGACCTACTTAACTGATATTTCAAGAAATTGCTTTCTCTGAACTCATTTTTCCGTTTTCCTTCTGCCTCAGAGTTTCATCCTACAGCAATTATATGTATGTTATTGTCTATTACCCTTCTTGCAAAAACAGTATACCAATTGAAATTTAAACATTTCAGGTGTCCAGAGGTCTCTGTGTTAAAAAAAAATTCATGTGGATGGTACAAAATTGTTTCAGTCAGTGTAGCTAAATTTTTATTTCAATGAGTTGAGTGCTTTCCCCCCTTCCCTCCTTTAGACTTTCTGCCTTGATTACTTCATGCGTCCATGGGCATAGACAATGTTGGTATGGTTAGTACGCCAGCAGCATACAGCATTGCTTCAATTCTGTTTTCTTTTGATACCTAAGAAAATTATGGAGATAAACACATAAGAATTGAAATTTTGTCATAGCTATTTTACTCAATTCCTTGCCTTCCTAATTTAAAACTTAAACAATGATCCATCATTGAAATTAACTTGGACCTGTCAACAATGACTGAGACATCCAAGCCACCAGCTTTGACCTATAAATTGGAAATGAAGTTTATTTTTGTTTTGTTTTGTTTTGTTTTGTTTGCAGTGCTAGTCAAACAGATGAAATTTTAAAGGAGCATCTGTAATCACTTCATGTAGACCTGTAGATCCATGTGGTTCTCTACTTTAAGGAGACCAACGCACAGGTTAAATAAAATGAAGCTTGTCTCCAGCAGACAAAGTGTGATTGTTAGCAGTAGGCGGAATCTGTGAGCAAAGTGAATGCATCATAATTTCCAAATATAATTCTATAAGAATAGATTTTGTTGTAGGTAATGCAAAATATGGATTAATTTCTTAGTTTTCTTGACTCTTTTGGGAACAGCTTGGAGTAAGAATAGGAAGCCTTTACTTGCTGCCTGGCAGCCCCAGGCCCAGAATGGGTAGGACTTGTCCTTCCCTCCTTGGACGAAAATCTGTTAGGGGAAAGAACACAAAACAGCATCTTGGCCATTGAGATTGCTGTAATGAAGAAAACTGAGAGAAATTGTATACAAACTCATGTCTATAATTCCATTATTACAACAGAGAAGAAGACATTCTGGGTAAGTTGAAAGTTAAATAAAGGCAGTGCATACCAAAATATGTAAAAATCTGTAGAGATTAGGAGAATCAGGACTTACACAAAGGAAGTATTCTGAGTCTCAATAAACCAAGCTAATGCTTAAAGTGGTTTCTAGAAAAAGTGGGAGGGATTTTGCAGGCATACCATCTGAAAAGCATAGAAGAGACTGCCCTTCCTGCTAGACCTTTCCAAGTAAAATTTCCTAATTAATAGGAAGTAAACCAAAGACTTTGGAGGAAGGAAAAAGAACTATTCCTTTGAGAAGAAGCTACAAGCTGAAGGAGGCCAACTTACCATATGAGACAGTAAGAGGTTAAATGCTAACAGATGCATGGCTGACACTGTGGCTGATGTGAGAAGATGGCTGTTGTCTACCGTCAGACCGAGCAAATCCAAATCCAACCAACTATGAGCTCTTGGGGGAAAGAAGGGGTCACTCTGAGGTGTTCTTGGTTGAGGATACAGCCTGAATCCCAGGCAGGCCTGCATGCCTTAGAAATTAATGTGTCACCAAGTGAACATTGTACTTACTTTGCTCATAGCTCCCCAGGGAATTAAAAAGAAAGGTGCCGGGGGAAAGGTGCAGATTTGCTTTATGTAAAAGGATATTTCACGTTTACGGTTATGTGCACGATACAAACGTGCATAAACATAATTATGTTACACACGTTTGGGGATGAAAAGGATCTTTCAACTCTCACTATGGGAAAAATACACATATGAAGGAATGCAGAATCTCTCAACTGAGGATTTCAGTTGAGGGTAGAGACCAGGGCCTGTGCGCCAGCAGGAGCAGTGTTTCCAAGGGAACACACTGAGCAAAGAGCTGCTTAAAGAATCGCTTCTGAAATGTTTAGCTTTTCGCTAGAAGCTCATGATGCTGAACCCTGGCGAGCGAGGGTTAAGAGCCGAGGAACAAGGCTCAGGTGTTTTCGCAGGGCAGCGCGACAATCCCAGTCTCAACCAGAGCGTCCTCCAGCTGCATCCATGAGACAGGAGTTGGGGGAATGGCCCCGAACGCCCTGTTGGTGAGCAAAAAGAACGCCACATTGGCCAGATTTCCGCGGGGTGCTCCCTCTCCAGCTGCTGGCTGTGGGCTACACGGAGCCAGCGTGTTTTCTGTTTTTTGTTTTTGTTTTTTTTAAAGGAAAACGTACCGTTAGGAACGGGGCCTAATCCAGCGTCAGGACGCGCACCACTGCGCAGTGTGCCTCCCCCCGCGCTCCTACTGAGTCACTGGTCACAGTCCGACCACGCGCACGCTCCTTTTCGAGCTTGGAGGTGGCTCTGAAAAGAGCCTTTGGGTTCGAGCGCCGGGGCGCGCTCACTTGGAGCTGGTGTACTTGGTGACGGCCTTGGTGCCCTCGGACACGGCGTGCTTGGCCAGCTCGCCGGGCAGCAGCAGGCGCACGGCCGTCTGCACCTCGCGGGACGTGATGGTCGAGCGCTTGTTGTAGTGCGCCAAGCGCGACGCCTCGCCCGCGATGCGCTCGAAGATGTCGTTGACGAAGGAGTTCATGATGCCCATGGCCTTGGACGAGATGCCTGTGTCGGGGTGCACCTGCTTCAGCACCTTGTACACGTAGATGGAGTAACTCTCCTTGCGGCCGCGCTTGCGCTTCTTGCCGTCCTTCTTCTGCGCCTTGGAGATGGCCTTCTTGGAGCCCTTTTTGGGGGCCGGCGCGGAGCGGGAAGGCTCCGGCATTGCAAGGCGGTAACCGAACCTGGACCAACCGGAATGGGGCGCGGGCAGGCCTATTTGTCATCTTTATATTCAAATGAGGGTTCCAAATATCTGGCACCTGGTTGGACGGCCTGCCGCCTGGCGGTGACCCGGAAACATGTATGTAAATAGAAGAAGCGACTCTTCTTTCTTATTGGACCGTAGTCTAACCAATCCAAAAGCACGTCTGCTGCACGCTGGTACCCAGGCTGAGCGTCTTTGTTCAAACCCTTTGTTTTAAACCGGAAGATCTTTGGGTCTGCTAAGTATTTGGCGGTGGTTAAAAGTAAAATGAAACCCTGTTCCAAATCGAGTCTCGTTTTTCTTTGGCCATGGGAGATATAGGGGCCATTTCTTTCTGAAGCCAACAGTTGGAGAGGGGAAGATTGATGGTTATTTAGCAAGAGGCGGTGAATGGCAGTTTCCATTCGCATTAACCATTTATTTACCGTTACCTTTCAACACCAGAGATAGGTTCCTCCCATAATTCAAGAGTAAATGCAAACGGTTCCTTAAGAAACACTGACGTACTTCCAACGGAAGCGCAGATTTTAACTGGAGAGAATTAACTAAAACGGTAGCCCTTCATATCGTTGTGATTAATGCCCATGAAATCTCTTTGAAGTGACAGCCATATGCTAAGTGACAGCTTGACAGATAGGATTCCACCTGTATCTCCGCAGGCAGCAGCCACTGTTATGTTAACTGCTGTTTCCATAATGATGTTATTTACTGCCATTGTGTGAATTGCTAAATCACCTGCCAGAACACAGGCCTATGAAAGTTGTCCCCAGGATGCCTCCCCTAGTGTAGTGACTTCCAAGGTAAAAAGACGAAGTGTCACACCTTCACATTTGCCTCCTATTTCAGCGTCACATGGAGAGCTGCTTAGAAAAGCAGAATCTCAGGCTAGGGTCCAAACGAGTTGAATCAGAACCTGAAGCTCAGGAAGATACACGAACATGTTCTAGTTTGAGAAGTCTGATTAGAGGCTATTTACCTGCCCTCCTTGGCCAAGTAGTTACCTTCTTCAACCTGCATTTCTTCTTCTGTAAGGAGGCCATCACGCCTGCCTGGTAAGTAGGGTTGCTAAGTGTACGTGCTTCATTCCCTCTAGCTCCTTTCCGTCCCAGAGCCGGCCTAGGTCCACCAGCTGGGCCACCTCACTATGCTCACCCAGCCCCATCACAGGAGTAAGTAGCAGGAGTTTTTCTCCTGCCAGAATCCTCAGGACAAAGATGTCTTTCCTCCTTGCACCTCTGGGGAGACACACATAGCACCCGGCAGATGCCCAGTCAATGCTTGGCTAAGAAAGAGCATGAGCCAGGCAACATTACTGAGTTTGGCTGAATTCTGGGCTCCTTTGGGCAGCAGCTGAAGACTTTGGGTTTCCTGAGCTGCTTTGGACATAATGCCACCACCACCCCTGCCGCCCCTGCCATCTAGCACCTCCTTTTCTTTCTGCTGCTTCACTCATGTCTTTTGGAATATCCAGCTGCTTTTCCAATCCCACCTCCATCCCCCAAATCCACTTTCTTTCATTCTCCTGCCCTCCATCCCCTTCCTTCTCATCTGTCTGTCTGTCTGCCTGTCTCTCTCTATTTTGCAGCATTGAATATTGAATCCAGGGCCTTTGCACTAATCTACATCCCTAGCCCCTTTTAATGTATTGTTTTGTGGTCTCACTAAGTTGCTCAGGCTGGGCTGGAACTTGTGATCCTCCTGCCTCAGCCTGGGATTATAGGTATGCAACACTGTGCTTGGACCAAAGCCACTTTTATTGCACATGAGGACATTCAAATATTTCTAGAATGAATGGAAGAGTAAGTGATCTACTAATCTAAATCCAATTCTAATAAGGGAAATGAAATTACTGAGTTCAATTCTTGATGGATTACTGGATGCTTTCATTTTCTTCTCGACATTATTCTCTTCCATATTTTCTAGAATAAATTCTTATGGTGCATGTTATTATAATAAAGAGAGAATAAGCATACAGAACTGTATTGTCTCCTCCATGTCCACTGGTTTCTAGGTGTAGGTTAGAGATGTGTAGGGTTGCCCTGGGATGACAAATGAAAGTCCATTACACCACTTCCATGTACTTTGGAAAAGGGTTGTATTCGTCTCTTCACTGTGACCAACCTGATGCACAGCACACGTTGGCTCTGAGCAGCCCTGCCACCCGACCCTGTGACACTGTCACAGCTCACCACCAGATCTACCAAGTTCTTCTTCAGTGTAACTCATGCAAAGATCAGAATCTGCAGATCCAGACTCATTCAAAGCCTTCTCAGAATACTCTTCCAAGTTCACCATCTTGCAGGGTTCTTGTTTCCTTCAAACTGGGTTATTTTCCTAAAAAGAATGGCTTTTCTATAAACTTTACACGCAGCTCTGGCTTTTTTGTAGCCGCCACTTTGATAATCCCAATCCAAGCACTCACCCTTCAGACCACGGAGCCAAGAGGATGTTTGTTTCCTTCTAGAATATCTGCTTGATTTAACACACATTTCTGGGATACTCACTCAGAGCTTATTGAACATTCAGTTCAATTTAGTTTTCATAACAGCCCTTTCACGGTATATGTACCACGACCAATCCTTTGCTTGACCAAACTTTGATCAGGCTCCAGAACCCTCTCCTAGGCCCATCTGTGCACAGTCTTCTAAAATCAATCTAGTTTTAATAAGGAGCTCTGGTAAGGCAGCCAAACAAGAATCCCCCCACCCTCAATATCTTCATCCTCCACCACCCTTAAGGATTGTACGGTTGTATGGTTGTTACTGGAGTTTTGGGGCAAAAGTCTGGGCTTTAGCAGTCCTCACAGAGCAATCTCAGCCCCTACCCCTAAAGGCAAGGGTGGGGTTTACATAGCTTGAAGCATAGGTCGTTCTGGTCTAGGATGGTTCTGTGACATTCTGGGAGGTTCATCATTGTGCTTGAGGTAACAATTTGGTTTCTGTCCTGAGCTCAGGGCATGATGTTTGGAGGGGGGTGAGGGCGGCTCAGTTTCTGTCATGAAGTAATTGTTTCTGATTGGGGCTTGGTGTGACTTCATCATGGGGTGGTCTGCAACAACCTGTTTATCCTGAGGTCCCAGGGCTGCAGGTTTGAAACAATGAAAACTTGTAGGTGTCACTCCAAGGGGTCTGGACTGGATACTGAAAGCTGGCAATTGGATGTCTCTGCAAGTCCTGGAAGTTACTTTAGTTACTCTGGCTTATTGTCCTCAGTCTGGAAGGGTGGTAAAACAGACCAGGCATATTTATGGCAACAAACCTTGTAATACTCGAAAGTGATTAGCATTCCTATGTGCAGAGCCGAGCTGGAAGCTGACACAAATTAGGTCATAAGGGAGACATAAGGTGCAAGCAGAGGTGCCAGGCTTCATCCTGCCTCTAATTACCCGTTAGATGTCTGCAGGTCCAGTCTCTAAGTCCCTGTTACATGGTCACGCTGGCTGCCTTCAGCAAGAATCTTGTTCCGTGGGTCCACCTAGAGTTCCCATCACACTTGATGTCCCCTCTTGGACACTCTCCAGCCACGCACTCCACCTGCTCCTGGGCTGTGAGTCTACAGCCACCCATGCTGTGCTGAGTGAAGCCCGATCTCTCTCCTTCACTGGAGATACTTGTGCAGTGGTGTCTGTATCTCTGGTGATGGACCCAAAGAAAGCCTTAGTGTTTAGATCATTTTATATAGCTACAACAAAATATTCTAGGCTAGGTACTTTATAAAGTGTAAAAGAAATGTGAAAGTTGTCAGAATCAAGTGGAGTCACTTGTGTGGACCCTAACAGAAACAAGTAAATAAAGCTGAGAGGTTTGAAGGAACAGTTCTTATGCACGGATGCCCGATAATAGTCACAAAAGACTGCCAGAGCCACAAGCCTGCAGAACCCACTGCCACCTTACACAAATGTGCTTCTAAGGGGATGGGGTGGCTGGGTGCAGTGGCTAAGGCAGGAGCTTCATGAGTACCAGGTCAGCCTGGGCAACACAGTGAACCACGCTCTCAAAAATAAAAACAAAGGCCGGGGATTTAGCTCAGTGGTTTCGCCGCCTGCTGCACAAGCACAAGGACCCGAGTTCAATCCCTGGTACCAAAAATAAATAAATAAATTAAATTAAAACAAAAACCAAAACCAAACAATAGATTCTAAGGGGCTGGGGTGTAGCTCATGGTAAAGCATGTAAAGAAGCCCAGAGTTCAATCACCAGCCCATGTGCACATGCGCGCGCGCGCGCGCGCACACACACACACACACACACACACACACACACGGTACTTCTCCAGGGACATCTGCCAACAACTGCCTGTTCCACCTCAGACTCACAGCACTTTGACTATTCACCACTGTGACCAAGGATCAATGTTTAGAAATATCTGATGTAATCCTCTGAGTTTGTGTCTTTAAAACTTGCCCTTGTCTCAACCTCTTGAACATGCCAGAGTTCACTAAGGCATCGTGCTCCTGTTGTAATGCTAATGCCGGAGAACTATCAGTACTCTGGAAATCCCTTTCTGGTTGTTACTTAGAGCGGCAAGACCAACATGTGTTGGTAGATGGAACACTGTAGGGCAGTGGTGATAAACTTATGGCACATGTGTTACTGTGTTTTTCTTTTAAGACAAAAGATATTAATGCATGAGTTGTTTTTTCTAAACTAAAACCTCAGTATTTGGGTTTAATTGCAGTGCTGGCACTTTTTGATAAATTAGTGGGTTTGGGTTTCAGTTTGTCGCTTGGTCTCTAAAATGTTCACCATCACTGCTGTAGGGCAACCTGGAGATTTTCCCCCTGAGGAAGAGGAAAGGAAGGCAGGGAGGATGGGAGGAAGAGGGAAAAGGGAAAGAAAGAGAAAAAGAAAGGAGGCCAAGGGCCGGGATTTAGCTCAGTGGTTCCACTGCCTGCCTCCTTAGCACAAGGTCCTGAGTTCGATCCCCGTACTGGGGCGGGGGTGGGTTCTAACACACAAGACACATTACCAGGAACGACAGCCCCTCCCCCACAGTGGTAGCAGCTAAAGGAAAACAGGGCTTCTGGCCCCAGTGAAACTGCCTGGTAGCTGCCCCCGAAGCGCACGGCGAGGACAGACTTCCTAAGGACGAGTTCCCACGTGTGGGGGTTCAGAGCGAGTGAGGCCGCGAATAGGGGAAGCAGGGTCTGGGGTCCTTTGTCCTCGGCGCAGTTCGAGTCTGGTGTGGTGGCGACTGGGCGCCGGGGACCCCACCCTCACCGGCTCTGCCGCTCTTCAAGTGGACACCCTGGTGACCTCGAGGGGCGCTAGGCCGGGCCCTTGTCTGCGGAGGCACGGTCCTTGTCCATTTTTAGGTCAACAAATGGAAGCCTTGCACTTGCCAACGACGGGCGACAGACGGGAACAAGCACCCGGAGATCCGCGCTGGGGCCCACACCACTGTCTGCTGACCGCGTCCGTGTGCATTCAGTAGGCGCCACCTACACCGCGCAGCGCCCGAGAGCCCTCCCGCCCAGCCGCGTCCCCGAGGGGCTCTGTGGACCCGGAGACACCGCTGCTGCCCCACAGTGGGCTTTGGAGACCTGTTCTTCAGTCCAAGTGGCCCCTGCCCCCATAGCGTGCATTTCTCTCCCCGAACAGCCATTAAATCCCGTAGGGGAGGCTGAAAGCGATCCAGGGGCTTCAGCATGTGTAGGCAACGTCTGTCTGCACACTGACACTGTAAGGAAGATTTTATGAGATGTGGGTACGGTCAGGAGAGGAGGGGTCCACCAGGGGAGGGACGCAGAGGGGAGGGGACAGAGGAAAGGTCCTGGGGGTGGACGACTGGGATGTGTCGGGTGGCAGAGGCTGGCCATGCCCCCAGGCCCACCAGGTGACACCCAAGCTGGCCTGGGTGGCTTTGTCCAAGGTCCCGCTCGCCCCTCCCCCCAGAGCTTGGCTTCCTGAGTCACAGGGAAATCAAGATGGTGTCTGAGGACTCGGAAAAGCGTGAAGAAGGCGCAAACCTATATAAAACATCACAGATTTCACAAAGAGACAAAACTGCGGGAGGACAGAATAAAGGGCAGCCTCGGTAGCTGAGAGGGCGCAGCATCAGAGGACAGGGTCCAGTGGAGCTTGCAGGGTGGAAGCCCGGTGGGTCCCAGTGGTCCCTTTCCTTGGACCTCTGTAATCCGAAACCCCCAGCAAGAAATTCCTACATATTTCTAAAAACAAACAAACAACAAAAGAACAGACCTTTAGAAAAATCTCACTAACGACTTTGTAAATGCTAATAACAGTATATGGTAAGGGCCTAGTGAAATAGACATCCACACATTGCTCCTATCTTTTGGAAAAGGCAATTTTCCCACACACATAAGAAACCTAATTTGACTTAGAAATTTGAGTTTTGTCCACTTTTAAACTAAATTATTTTATTTTTCTCTCACAGCACTCCTAGTTTAATAACAAATCAGGCTCGGCTTGAAGCCTTCTCACCACTGCTACACACAAGCACAGTTTATTATTCACACTACCAACTACCCATTTAATACATTTCCAAGACTACACTCGATCGAACACACACTCACACACCCCTCACACAAAGTGATGCTTCGGAATACCTTACACTTGTATGGAATAGGACACATTTTAAAAAATCTAACAAATTACATAGTTTCAATTTGTGGTCCTTTTTTTTTTTGGTGCCAGGGATCGAACTGGGGACCTTGCACTTGCGAGGCAGGTGGCGGAACCACGGCGCTAAATCCCTGGCCCACGTAGTTTTAATTTGTACAAACTGCGTGTTTGCTTGTTTTCAAAATAGATAGCTCCTCCGAAAGAAGTAACACATCCTCATCTGACACCTTCCCCGTGGTGGGATCAACCCTCTGCCCTGGGGAGAACCTCTTGCCGACAGTGGACCTATGGCCCGCTCCCGGAAGCCGGCAGGGAGGCACTGCCTGGAGAGACCGCGCGTGCCAAGTTCCTGCGGGGAGGCCCTCAGCGGCGTGTGTGTGCAAGGATGGCCGCTGGGGGGCACTACACAGGGCGGGACTTTAGGACCAGGGCACGGGAGCCGCGTCCACACAGGGATGGCCAGTGAAGGAGGAGCCTCGCACGCAGAACAGGTCCGTGAGCGGCGAGTGAGCGCAGGAAAGGGTTACCGGAGCATGTCCCCGAGTACGCCTGCGCGAACCGGGAGTGAGGCGGAGCCAAGGCCTGGCCCTCACTGCCCAGGTCCTAGCAGTTTACGAAAGACCAAAAACATGGACTCTGCAAGTAATAAAAGTTTGTTTCCCTCTCGCCTACGATTGACTTATGGATTAATTCCAGCCCCAGTAAGACTTCATAATGAGAGGATGTGGGCTAGCCTGTGGGCTGGACAGTAGCCAGGGCCTGGGCTTGGAGCTCACGGTCATTGGGACGTTGATTCACAGAATAAGGGAGCGCGCAGCGGCCAGACCCTTTGTTCGGGGACCCAAAGGCTCTGCCAGGACCTGAGATCAAGACTCTCAGTGCACCGCTGCCAGGACCCTGCTCGGAGCGCGCGGGCTCCCAGACCCGCCCCGCGCGCGCGTCCCCGGCGTAGGCTCCGCTGCCGCTGCCGTTGTCACCATTCCGGCCTCGCTGCCGCCCGCCGCCCGCCGCCCTCGCCCGCTCCTCTGCGCCCTCGCGCCCCGCCGCCGCAGCCCTGGCGCTCCCCGCCGGCCCCGCCGAGGCCGCCTGCGCTCTGTGCCAGCGCGCGCCCCGGGAGCCCGTCTGCGCCGACTGCGGCCACCGATTCTGCCGGGCGTGCGTGGTGCGCTTCTGGGCGGAGGAGGACGGGCCCTTCCCGTGCCCCGAGTGCACCGATGACTGCTGGCAGCGCGCCGTAGAGCCGGGCCGCCCCCCGCTCAGCCGCCGCCTGCTGGCTCTGCAGGAAGCGGCCGCGGGGCCGGCGCGCGACGGCCCTGCTAGCGAGGCCGCGCTGCAGCTGCTGTGTCGCGCCGACGGCGACCCGCTGTGTGCCGCGTGTCGCATGGCCGCAGGCCCCGCGCCTCCTGAGTGGGAGCCGCGCTGGAGGAAGGCCCTGCGCGGCAAGGTGCGCGGGGATAGGGGCACCTGCTCTGTCCTCTCCACCCCACCCTGGGGTCCCCGGGGGCCCAGACCCCTGCCTTGCCCCTCCCTCCCTGGTGTCCCGAGGAGCCCGAACCACTCCCCTTCCCCGGGTCCTCCTGGTTTTCTGGTAATCATGGCCCTCTGCCCTCTCCCCTCCCCTCCTTGGGGACTTCTCCTCTGGGTCCAGACCTCTCTCTACCCCGGGTTCTTGCCCTCTGCACTCGGTGCTGACCCCACTCCTCCCCCCCTCCAGAGGTTGCCCTGTCCGCCTCCGCGCGCGCCGCAGCACCTGGTCCTGCAGTGCCACATCTCCCACCCCACCTCGGGCCTTGTGCCCCTTCTCATCCTGGGTGCCCGGAGGTTTCCTCTCCTGTGGACCCCAGGGATGGCCCCGCTCACTGCCCTGAGGGGACTGCCCCCCTTACCAACCTTGGTGGGGGTTCTGTCCTCAGGACCAAGCTGTAGCCCGACTTCCAGTGGGCATCTGAGGCTGGCCCAGCACCTCTCTGCCCTCTGAGGTTACCCTCAGCCCCACCCCCGTGCACCCTGTTCTTGAACTTTCTCTACTGGGATCTCTTGACCATTCCATTTGGCAGCTGCCGTTGCGCAGAACCCCACCTTGAATCTGGCCATAGCTGGGTCCTTGGGCCCTGGAGCTGCACCCCTGGAGCGTAGCTGGGGATCAGTGTCATTTCTGAGAGCTTGGCCAGGTCCCTGGGTCCTGACCGCCCTGCCTGGCCCTGTCCAGGGAGGAAGAAGCAGGGCTGGCTTGGTGAGCTTCCGTGGGTCCTGGGGCTGCTACCAAGGCACACTGTAAAGGGAGGGTCCAGGCTGTCCTCCGCACCATCCTAGAGTGACTGCTGTTGATTGTCCCCTTCCTGAGGCAGGGTGCTGAGAAGGCTGAGCAGGGCCCGTGTGGACTAAGTTCACCTCAGAAGGAGCCCATTTAAGAACATGGGTTGCAGGCCGCCCTGAAGAGCTACCTGGGCTGTGCCCAGCTCCTGGGAAGGTGGGGAACACCCTGTGGTATCTAGCCTTTTCCCTTTTACTCGGAATGTGGCAACCAGAGGTCTTGTACCGGGGCTATTCTGGGGCAGACTTAGTGGGATCAGTGGTGTGAAGTCCCTCAGACTGGCTGAGCTGGGCCCCAGACCTTTTGCCCATCTCACAGTATGCAGCTTCTCTCTCCCAGGAGAACAAGGGATCTGTGGAAATCATGAAAAAGGACTTGAATGATGCCCGGGACCTGCATGGCCAGGCAGAGTCTGCAGCTGCTGTGTGGAAGGCAAGTGGCAGTGTGAGGTGGGGCCACTTGGATGCAGGGCCTGGGCTGGAGAGGGGCCTTGGGTGAACTTCCTGAGCCTGGGATATTTTTCTAGTACGTGTTTATGGGTATTTCCCAAACAGAGTCTGGTAAAGCCAGTGAGAGTCCTCTTCCTCCGCATGTTTTGGTCTTGTGGCCACGGCTGACCCTGCGGTGTGTGGTCCAGGGCCAGGGGGTGTCATGTGAGTCTGAGGGGATTCTTCCTCACTCCTGCTTCCTGGATAAAGTCTTGGCTGAAGGGGGCCCTGTGCTCTGATCAGGATGTGGCAGTGAGAGTCCTGGGAAGACGACTGCGTGCCGACAGACAGCTGTGTGCTGCAGTGTGAGGAATCAGCTTCAGTAGTCAGTCCTGTGTGTCTTGCTGGCCCCACATCTTATGATGGCTGTGTCTGTGCTGAGCACAGACAGACCATTTTATTGTCATTATTCCCTAAGCAATGCAGTAGAATACCTACATAGTGTTTACACTGTGTTGGGTGTTACGATTTAAGGTACACAGGGTAACATGAAAAGGTTCTGTGAAATCCTGTGCCATTTTATGGAAGGGGCTTGAGCATCCAGATGTTAGTGTCCTTGGGATGAGGGTCCTGGAACTCATCCCTGCAGGAGACCAAGGGATGAGTGTGTAGAAGGAGACAAACACCCTCCAGACTGGACCAGAGCATCGAACTGGTGTAGGACAGACGAATGGGGAAGATCAGACACATTCGTTGACACAGGTTGGGGAAGGAGGGACAGAACCTTTGTGAGGAAAGGAAGACCCAAAGCAGCAGTTGTCCAGTCATTACAGACTGAGTGGGTTGACGAATGCAGGTGGTGAAAAAGCAACTGAGTGATGCTGGAAGGCAAAAAGATAAGAGCTGTTTTAACAAGGTCTGTGCAGAGTCTTCTTGGCCTGGATGACAGGAGTGTCCATTGTCCGTTTCTTATGGAGAGGGTGCACTGGTCTATTTTCTAATGCTGTAACAAAATCTAACACTGAGCATTTTATAAAGAAGAGGTTTATGTAGCCCCCAGGTTTGGGGGCTGACAGGCTGCATTTAGGTGGCTCCATTATTTCGGCTGTGGTGAGGGCCCCATGGCAGGGGGCATTGCTGTGGGGATGTGGAGGCGATCAGGAATCAGAGAGACTTGCTCTGTTGACACCAGCTTGCTCTTTGGGAACTAAGGGGGTCTTGGAGACCCCCGAGGGCCACCTCCCCCTGGACCCCTCTGAAAGGCTCCACTGCCCCAACACCACTAGGCTGAGGCCAATCTTAAGCATGCACAGCTCAGGGGACACATGGGGACCACAGCAGAGTGTCTGCCCCTGAAGCTCTTGTCCGTTTTTGAAGTGGCCTTACACTTCAAAGTGCTGGCAGCGTATTTTGGGATGTTGCAGACTGGACTCCCTTGAGCACAGACAGGTTTCTTGTACCCCAGGGCTGGGGGCATGGGCTGAGGTACTTGCAGGACCCAGGGGCACAGGTGTCCTCTCTTCTTCCCTCCTGCAGGGACATGTGATGGACCGCAGGAAGAAGGCCCTGACTGACTACAGGAAACTGCGGGCCTTCTTCGAGGAGGAGGAGGAACACTTCCTGCAAGAGGCTGGGAAGGAGGAAAGCACCCCAGAGGATGAGCTGGCTGACCCGGCCGAGCGGTTCCAGTCTCTGCTGCAGGCTGTGTTGGAGCTGGAGAAGAAACACCGCAGCCTGGGCCTGAGCATGCTGCTGCAGGTATTGTGCCCTGAAAGGGAGGCCTGTTAGTGACAAGCCTGGAACTGCATCCTGCCTGCCTGGGTCGTGGCCTTGGGGCTGCAAGGGGAGGGGATCGGGCTGAGGAGCGAACAGGTGTCCTCGGCCTTCGCACGGGACTGGGTGTGGGAGCACTGAGGCGCCCCCTCTGGGCTCCAGGGCCAGAGCCTACCGGACAGCCCTCGGGTTTGGCCTGGGGCCAGGCCCACGTGTGTGCCGCACGTGCAGCAGCTGTGACAGGGTTGCCCGTTTGGGTGGTGTCACACTGCCTCTGGTCTGGGTTTGTGGTGCCCAGGACAATAGCTGTCTCTCTCTGTTTCTGCTTCGGTCCCATAACATTTTTTTCTGTCTTTCTGTTCATCTTTTTTTTTTTGGGACCGGGGATCAAACTTGGGTCCTTGCGCTTGTGCAGCAGGCGGCGAAACCACTGAGCTAAATCCCCGGCCCTTCTGTTCATCTTTCTTTGTCTCCTTACCTACTGCTCTGTCTCTGTCTCCATCTCTGTCTCTTCCTGTCTCTGTGTCTGTCTTCATCTCTGTCTCTCACTGTCTCCATCTCCATCTCTGTCTCTCTCCCTTTTCTCCCTCCCTGCAGTGAAGGCACTGACCTAGCTGGGTCTCCCTGTTCCCGAGGGCAGAAGGGACCACCCCGCATAGCTGGCCCGCAGCAGCCCCCCCACCCCCTCTGGATCCCTTCTGCCACCATCACCTGCCACCCTGGATGGAGCAGCTGAAGCAGCACTATCGCCCGAAGGTCTGGGTCTCAGCCAGGCATTATTTTCCTCTTCTCGAGCTGTGTGTTCAGGCTCCACCACTGCCTCACGAAGTCTAGTCTTGAGCCCTCCCGTGAATCTCCTGTTCCTCGCCTGCCCACACAGCCTGGCACCTGGTGTTCTGGGCCATCTTTGTGGTGCCCAGCACGGGCTGATCACAGGCTGTTCTTCCCCAGGTGAGGGCACACGACGCACGGCTGGATTTGGGACTGGTGCCAGGGGAGGGTCACAGTGGATGTGACCCAGCTCTTGTAGGGAGGGGAGGAAGGAATGGCATGCTCTTGGCCTTTCTGAGGGTCCTCCCTCGGGTCCGGCTGTGATTTATGCTCAGCACCCTAGCCCTGGTCTCCCCTTGGACTGTCTCTCTTTCTCCTTAGCTTGGGCCCCTTGGCTACTGTCAGTGACCCCAGAACATTCCCACTCTTTCCTCCCCTCCTCCCGTGGAAGGGACCCTTTTCCCAGGGAGGGGCAGGAGGCAGCTCCCCCAGACATCTCCAGGCCTACCCTGGGGTATCACCCTGCTGTGTCCTTGGCTGCTTGTTTCCGGTTCTCTCCAGTAGATGGGGTTCACCACATGCGTGATGTGGCCATTGCAACACTGCCTGCAGTGTTGCTATGTGTAGATTAGTCCAGACTGGAATGGACAGAGTCACCAGGTCTGGGACACAGATGCAAATTCGAGTTTCGATTCACTGCAGCATGCGATTCAGGGCTTGACAGGGGTGCAGATGGGGCTGTTTTGAGGGACAGTTCCCATCCTGAGGAATCCCTGGGCTTGGATGTAGCGGCTGTATCTGACCTAGTTCTGTGGGCTGGGCTCTCAGAGCCGAATAAAGTGGGTTTGGTCCAGCCTGTTTGCTTCCTGTCATGCCTCTGGGTGCTTCTCATGCTGCTAGGCAGTCCCCAGGGTTAAGGAGAAATCGCTCAGTGACACTGACCTCATCAATCAGCATTGAGACAGGTGTGTGGTCATGACTCACATGGGGAGATCAGGCTGTACCTCAAACCCAGCGTTGGGGAGTGGGAACCTATAGCCCAGGAGTAGGAAGGGGTCCATGTGTGGGAAATGAGGGGCTCTGGACGAACCCAGTGAACAGGATTCTTGCAGAAGGTGCCAGGGGGCTAGACACCTGCTGGGTGTGGGAGGGTTTCATTATGAATTTTGGGGGGAAGTCACCTTCAGACCATAATAGAAGCCCAAAAGGCTCATCTCTTAGGGAGAGATGCTTTAACTTGTGGGGTTTTTGTTGTTTTTTGTGGTACTGGAGATAGAACCCAGGGCTTTTGCACTGAACTGTGGCATTTTAAAAAATTTATTTTCTTTCTTTCCTTTTTTTTTTTGGTACTGGGGATCGAACTCGGGTCCTTGGAATTGTGCAGCAGGCGGTGAAACCACTGAGCTAAATCCCCAGCCCTCTTTCCTTTTTTTTTTGAGACAGGGTCTACTGTATAGCGCAGGCTGGCCTTAAACTCACTATGCAGCCCAGGCTAGCCTTGAACTCCAATCAATTCCCCTGAGTCAGGCTCCCCAGTGCTGGGATTACAGGCCTTCGCCACCACACCTGGCATAAAATTTCTTATTTCTGAGACAGGGTCTCACTAAATTGCCCAGGGCTTGAACTTGTAACCCTCCTGTCTCAGCCTCCCAGAATGCTCCCTAGATTTTTGAGCAATAAAAAAATGCACATTGACAAAGAGTGATGGCCCGACCCTGTTAGACTGGGGTAGGCCGCAAAGCAGCGGTCTATCCCCACCTCCCAGCCTCTGCTGGTGGGTGCAGAGGGGTATATCATTTCGCAGACTTCATCAGATGAAGGGCACAGTGAGAAGGACCCAGCAGTTCTCCCCACCTCCTCCTAGGTCCACAGAGGGTGCACCATTGTAGACGTAGCAGGCAGGGAGGCACCCAGTGCCCTTCTCTGGAGAGGTGGGAGTGAAGGGGAGTTAGCACCGTGGATGCCACAGCCTTGGCGAATGGGAGAGCCAGGTGCCAGCTTCTAGGTGAGGCTCCAGGACACCACGAGAGGTGCGAATGCAGGGCCCACTCTAAAAGTTCGCAGGCATAAGTCCATCGTTGGAAAGAACACCTCAAACAACAATGGAAGTCCATGCCTGTGGGATGAGAAATGAGAGATCAAGTTTGGGCAATGAGGAGAATGAAGGGAATCACGGTACGAAAAGGAAACAGGCTGCCCTTTCGTGGAAGATAGGCAGGTCTTGGGGCAGGAGTGACCTGTGCACAGCCCCAACCCGGCGGACGGACGATCAGGATGCCTTGTTCTGTACACTGGAGCACTGTGGCCCCGGGGGGAATTAGGGTTGGGGGACGGCCCGAGGCACTGCCTCCCACGCGCGTCTCGTTGTGCAGGAAGAGGTTTTTTCAGTACTGGCGCGTCCGCCTGGGGACGGCTCTCCCAGGGCCCGTCCTGCCCGGGGTGTCACGACACTGGAAGACTCTGCATTCCCTCCCCGCGGGCCGGACACAGGTCAGGCCCGTCTCCAGGTTCGGACATCCACTTCCGCCAAGACCCAGCGGGCGTAACGCGCTCATGTCCCCTTCCCCGACTGCCTGCTCCAGGTTCCGAGGATCCTTCGCGTCTGGAAGCAGAGGAGGTCCCTTCTCCCACCTAGGAGACGGGCTAAGCAGGAAGGCTAGGTCTGCGGCTTCCAACCTGCAGAGGCGACAGTGACGACACTGCCATCTCCCTGCTGTGCTCCCCCCGGGTGATCTGGGCCGTATGCAAATAAGGTGACTTTCCAGGCATCGTTTGATTGGACAAAGCGTTCCGCGGAGGAGCCAATGATGATCCTGTGCTGCAGAGAGCCTTCAGGCCTTTGGTAGGCGCAGTATCCACAGCCCTGTATTAAGGCTTTTTGGCACGCCCTGTTCTCACAATCCGGCTCCGGGAGGTTCCGCTACCCCCTTCTTTCGACCACCCCGGCCATCGCAGGCCACCACACTAACGGAGACAGGGTGCTCGGTAGGGACAGGCTTGATCGTCTCTTGCGAGGCCGCAGTACCTGGTGGCCGAGCAACCGTAGGTGATTTTGATCACCCCGTACCGCCTGCAGCAGGCCACCCACTGGCAACGACTAGGAGGTTGCAAGGCGCGTGGCCGCCTTGTCCAACATCCCGGCCGTGGAAGACAGAGAACCACAACACCTAGCAAGGCAGTTGAGGCTCTGGAGCCCTTTGATGGGTACTAAGTAAATAATCAAGAGGGGAGCTGCTGATATGGCTCCTTCTCCCCCAGGCCCTTGTGTCTTTGTGCACCTGACATCCCAGTGTGGAGCTTGGTACCTGAATTAGCGATTGCCTTGGTTTTTAGGAACAAAAGAAGGAGCCTCCACTGGTGGAAGTAGGCTGTCTGAACCTGTGTGACAGTCGTGAGTTGTGTTCCACGCCTTCTGCCTTCTTTCACCCAACAGTGGTCAGGCATGAATACTTGTGGAACAGATTTCTCCAGCTGAGGGAACACTGTCCAGAGCAGAAGTCATTCCCCAGGAAGCACACTCGGTACTGTCGGTGTGTTAGCCCCTAGGAAAGTTATCAACCCCAGGGACTCAGCCAGCCTACAGAAAGAGGGCTCAGTGCTGGATTCTGCTGGGTTCAACCCTCCTGGCTTATTTAGCCCTTCTTATCAATGTCTCTTTCAATCTCTCCCCACAAAACAATATAAAACTCTTGCTGACTGACCTCCTTTCCCTATGTTGTGACGTAAACTGCACAACTAGAAATCCCAGCCTAATAGAGCTCTTGGTCTTTCAGAGAGGCTGTGATCTGAATAAAGACCAGGTTCCAAGTACGAGTGAAATATGGTTGTCTTTCTGTGCCTGGTCTATATCACTTAACATAATGTCCTCCAAATTCATCCAGACGACATTTTCCTTTTTATGGCTAATTAGTCCCATGGCTTTTTATACAGCTCCTGTCCAGCTCCTTGTTTTGGAATATATGTTTGTTACCCATGATAATTGTGATACTGTGATATATGTTTGGCTTTTGTCCCAGTTTCTTACCCTGCAATTCTTAACAATCCCAGAAATCTTCAGACTGATAGTTTTTTGTTCGATAATGAATCGGCCACTGGCCAGCAGCCCTGGGCGGCTTCAGCTCAGGGCTGACACTGGAAGACCAAGGCAGGATCCCAGGGTCGGGCCTCCCCGAGGGCAGAGGGGCTGAGGTCCAGCTACTCTCCAGGGCCCAGTAGTCAGTCCCGCCCCAAGGCCAGGGCTCAGAGGGCTTCCTGGGATCTGGGCATGGGGAGGGCGGGCCCAGGGAGGACAGGAAGCCCAGGCTCCCCACACCTGGCCTGTGCTCTCCTCCTCTGCACCTTGGTAACGTCCTGCTGATGAACCAGGCACTGAGCCAGCCTCTCCCAAGCCCTGAGAGTGACAGGAACAGTCCATCCACCCGAGGAGAGGTTGTGAGTGTCAGGCTTCATCTGGTCGTGAAATGGTTAATGAATATATGCTGCTTAATTCCAAGCTATAGTTAAAATGGCAGCTCTCAGCAGAGCACACAGCAGATGCAGGTGGTGCTGGCTTCTGTGGCTTCTTCTGACACAGGTTGTCCTGTCTTCTAGCAGATAAAACACAGGACAGAATGTCATGGGGAGGAGATGAGACAAGACCCTAAAACCATCAAGTACAGCACGACACCGTCTCTGCCTTGACTACTGCATGTACCCCCATCTGTGACAGATGTGTTAGACCCCTCTTCCTCCCAATCCCCCATACAAACCCCTGCCTTTTGTCTGTTGAACACTGATGGGCCTCTCACCCTCAGGCCACCTCCACCCTGGTGAATAACATCTGTGCCTCTTTGCTTTCCACTAGCCCACTCAGGTGGTCTCATATCTCTGTCATTTGTCACAGTGGGGACTCCACTTTATAGCCAGCTGGGGTGACGGCCACATTGGGACAGAGCCCCCACCTGTGGGCGGTGTGGTCTACAGGTAAGCAGTGACTGGGCTGGGTTGGATTAGAGGACGCTGGTTTTCCCTGTAGAATTGCTTGCTAGCTAGTGGGGAGAAGTTCTTAAACTTTTGGGGTACACAAATCTCCAGTGTTGATTGCTGTGGTGTAAGAGTTAGGAGAAGCAGGCAGTTAGCTTTTCCATACAATGGTGTGATAGTACTATAATCTCCTTTCACATGAGTTGCTCTTTGTTGCCAGAACACTTAGTGCTTTATAGATGTTTTTGATTGGCAGTCTCTGAAGTGACCCATGTTGCAGAAGTCCCACAAAGTCTTGATTCCAGGACCTCACACACACCAAAATCTGCAGGTCTAGATGCACTGGTGCTCAGAGCCTGTGGTGACACAGATTGACTGAGCCTGAATCTGTCCGTGTGGTCCACTTCTGAGTCTCACCCTGGGGCCAAGGACCAGGTACTTCAGATGCTTTGATGCTTCCACTAACCCTTCCACTGCCTCACACACTAGGGCAGCAGGGATGCTGGCCCAGTTTTCATGATGGGAAACTGAGGCTGTGGATTAAGATGCCCAAGACTGCAGCTAGCCCTGGGGATGTCCTTTCCAGCCCAGCCCAGCTTCCTTCACAGGGGGGATTTAGCTCAGTGGTTTTGCTGCCTGCCATGTAAGCGCAAGGACCGGAGTTCGATCCCCGGTACAAAAAAAAAAAAAAATACAGCACTGCTGATTTCATATTTCCATGTGTTGTAATTCTTTTTGAGAATAATTTAATTTTCAGATTATTCTATTTATAAAAGTAAATCATATCTCCAAAAATTGTTGGCCACAGAAAAGAATAGCCTAGATAATGAGTATTGATTGAAAGGAATAAAAATGACATAAATAACTTATATTTTAACATGAGTTTTTAATCTTACAATGAATAACACTCTTCTTCTGATCATACATTGTCTTTCACTAACAGAAAAGTTCCTAAAGCTCAGCTGGCCACCAACACCCCCGGGTTCTTTACGTGTACTCCTCTGTCTTCCCCACTAAGCACACGGCCATTTTCCCTGGATACCACTGCTCCTCGGAAACCTCGCTTGTGGTGATGGGCTGCCACAGAAGTCAGGTACGCGGAGGGACACCACAGACTTCTGCTGAGGAGCAAGAAGCAGAGGACCAAATGAGTGCTGGAAAAACACTGGGCACATGGGGTTCACTCCTTACTCTCTCATCAGTGCTAAATCCAAACCCTAAAGTGGTAAGGACAGATTTACATCTCAGGAATATAAAAGGTGTGGCTGAAAAATATGGTGAATGTTTAAATATGAAAATCATCACAGTAAATGACACATTGCCATGAATCCCTTTCAAAGTACTCCTCCTCACTTCAAACACTTATCCATCATCCCTGCCACCTCCTGAAGCTACTCCGGAAGTCCTCTTTTGCATCTTTAGTGGTGCTAGTGTGGCGCCTTGGTGTCTTGAATAGATCAAAATGTTCACCTTTCCCAATCATTTTGGCTTCGGGTAAGAGCCGGGAGGCTGAGGCAAGAGAATTACGTGTTCCTGCCCAGCCTGGGCAGCTTGCAATTTAGCAGAGACCCTGTCTCTAAACAAGAAATCAAGAGGGCTGGGCATGTAGCTCAATGCTAAGACCCTGGGTTCAATCCCCAGTACCTGAAGGGAGGGAGAGGGAGAGGGAGAGGGAGAGAGAGGGAGGGAGAGAGAGACAGAGTGGAAGGGGGAGAGGATGGTGTGGTGGACCCCCTCTGGCTTTCTTGCCTGAATACCCTGAGATTATGGCCTAGGACCCACGGCGGGTGGGTAGGGGCAGTGCCCAGAGAGCTGGTAAAGCTCCTTGCTGGGCACCTCCATGATGGTGTTAGCATTAGGGTCGGGGAAAAGAGAGTGAGCTGTGGACTGGACAAGTGCCTTGCTCTCTGAGGGCCCTCATTTGGACTTTGGGCTCAGGACACACCTGGCATGGGGTCTTTGCCCTTCAGGCATGGTGACATCAGGGATACCCCCAGCTCGCAGGCAGCAGGTATGGGGCCTCTCAAAATATCCTATCCTAGTGGACAAGAATATCCCAAATATCCTGTGTCCTACTAGATAACACAGATCCAGGCCTTGTCCCCAAATCCAGTCTGATTCCAATGCTCCCTGATACCCAGCAGCCAATTCTGTGGCTGTCCTGAGAAAGGACAGAGCTTCCTCAAAGGCATCGTGCAGGGAGGCAGGCATAGGAGGTTCACCCGGTGGGAGAGGGCAGCTGCTTGTTGACTGCCCTCCAAGGGCAGGTGCAGTCACCAGGCCTTTCTGTGGTCACACAGTGTTTTGGGGAAGCCACGTTCCATGCAGATGTTGAGCTTGTGATGCCAGAGATCATTGCCAGGAAAAGCTGGCTGCCTCTGCACCAGTTTACTATTGAAAAGGCTTTTCCTGAAAGACACCTTGAGCTTTTTGCCATTAAGGAACTGTCACGAGTGTCCAGAGTTAGCCGGTCTCATGGGCTGGGGCTTCTCATGGGAACGGGGGCACAGTTCAGCATGCCAGTGAGGGACACTGGAGTAAGACATTGGTGCCACCACTGGCCAGGGCCTGCCAGGAGGGCTGGTGTCTCCTCCTGCAGTGAGGGCCTGGCAGCTCTGACCCGACCACCAGGAGCCTGGCTGAGGAGTCCCCTGAGCAAGCAGGGACACTCCTGGGCCTGGGTTACTGGCAGTGGGCACAGGTATCCAGAAGAGAAGCAGCAGGGGCCAGCATGGCCTGTGAACTCCCAGAGGGCTCTGTGTCTGTCTGTGCCCTGCAAGGCAGGATGTGGGTGAGGACAGGGATAGGCCTTGAGATGTGTGTGCTTATTTTATTTATCCAGTCACCTGTCAAAGGACATCTAGGCCATTTCTGTATCTTGGCTAGGGTAAAAATGCTGAAGTGAACATGAGTGTGCAGCTGTGTCAACACACTGATTATGTCTTCTGGGTTATACCTGTTGGGACTGCTGGATCACATGGTAGCTCCACATTTAACTTTTCGAGGAACCTCCCTTCTGTTTTTGATAAAGGCTGAACTAATTCCCATCCATAGCATACTGTTGAATTCTCTCTTTTCTTTTGGTAACGGCCAACCTGACAGGTTCCAACTGATAGCACTGGCACCTGATGATTAGTGATGGTTTCATGTACCTGTTGGCAATTGTATGTCTTCAGAGGAATGTCTATTCAAGCCCTTACCTCATTTTAAAATAAGATGATGATGATGATTATTATTACCATTGGTTATTGCTGAGTTTTTATTTGGCCTTAACAAAGGAGCTGTTGTCATTTACCACCACTTGGATGAATCTGGTGAGCACTGTGCTGAGTGCAATAAGCCAGGCACAGAGAGACAAATACTTCATGATCCCACTTATAGGAGTCAAAGCCTTAGCAGGAGAGAGCCAAGTTGTGGTTTCCAGGTCTGAGGGTAGGCAGAGAGGGGGAGTGTCACAGGTAGAGAGCTCAGCAGCACAGCGTGATGCCCACAGCAGCAATCCTAGCTTATGTACTTCAAGTTGCTCAGAAGCAGACCTGAGTATTCCGACACAAAACTTAAAATAAAGAAAAGCCCTGATAATCAAGGAGGCAGGAGGAGAATTTTTTTGTACTGTTTGTCTTTGTCCTCCATACAGAATATATACGTGCATTTGGGGGAACTGGTACAGATGTAAATATTATCTTGATCATTTGCCATCCCCACTGACCCCTCTCACGCTTCCGCAGATCCCCTTCCCTGTCTCCAAAAGTGTGCCTCTCTGTTTCTTACCATCTCTCCTTTATTTCACTCTTTATTTATATTTTGGGATTCTCATGCAAGAGAAACCATGTGATATTTATTAGTATTCTGTATCCAGAACAGGTAAGAAGGGTTATCGTGTAGACATGTCACATAGAAAACCAAGATAAAATGGTAGTTCTGAACTCTGTACAACAACAAATTAAAGGGATCTCTTATCCCAAATTAAGAGTAATAATGAGTGAAAAACAAAACAAATCAAAAGAAGCTGTAAAGGGCAGGTCAGTGGTTGCCTAGGGTAGAGTCTGGGGGCAGGGATCAAATTACAACAGATTCCAGAGACCCTTTAGTGGGGAAATGTCCAAGCTCTTGGTAGTGTTGCTACATGACTGTATGTGATGACCCCAAATCATTGAACTGTACCCTTAAAACTAGCAAATTCATTTCATATAAATATCACACTAATAAATAAAAAGAGGAGAAAACATGTTAGAAATGTAGCACCTTGAGGATGCAGTGAGGTGTGGTGCGCCAAGGAGGCTGAGACTGGAGGATGGTAAGTGTGAGCTCAGCCTTGTGAACTCAGCGAGGTGTTATCTTAAAATAAAAAGGGCCTGCAATGTAGCTTAGCAGGAAAGCCCTGGGCTTAATCTCTAGCAAGGGCTTTTCTCTCTAATCCTCTCCTATTTCTGTCCATGCAAATGCCAGCTTTTCTCTAAAGCCCAGCTCAGGGTCACCTGCTTTCATGACATTTCCTGGCCACTCCACCAACCAACCACATCTGTACTCTTGACCCTGAGCCTGGAACACTAGGACTTCCTCTTTTTTGCATACAATACTGAGAGGTTTCTACATAGTCCTTGTTCTCCCTGACCTGGGGAGAGGTGTGACAGTGTCGCCTAGCTCCACACTGGCTGCAGTAGGCTGAGTGAGGGCCCCCAAAATATGTCCAAGTCCCAACCCTGGCACCTGTGAATGGGACTTCTTTGAAAAACAGGTCTTCGCAGGCATAATTAGGGCCTGAACCTCAAGATGAGATCATCTTGCCTTCGGCTAGGCTTGGAATCCTGTGACGACTGTCCTCCTAAGGGAAAGGCTAGAGAGAGTTAGAGCACAGAGACACGCAGAAGACAGAGATCTGATGCTATTACAAGCCTAATCTGTTCTCTCGATGGAACAGTTGGTGTGACTTCTGTCCTGACTGAACTCTGACCAATGCCGAGGGCAAACCTGGGAATAATGGCATCTTCTGCATGTCATGGCATGGAAGGGAGAGAAAAGGATTTGAGGTTGACTGGGTGTCTGGATGGTTTCTGAGAGGAGTAGTAGGAAGGGAACAAGGAGGGACATGAGGAGAATAAGGGGAAGGAGGGGAGAGGAGGAGGAACAGAAGGGAGAAGGAGAAGGAAAGAAGAGGAGGAAGAGGAAGGAGAGGAGAAGGAAGAGAGCAGCTTTTCCCCTTGGCTTGCAAATGGTCACTCTCTGTGTCCTCTCAGGGTCTTTCCACTCTGGGTACCTATGTGTTAATCTCTTCTTCCTAAGAAGATACAAGACCAATGGGGCCAGGTCCATCTAAATGACCTAGTGTTACCTTAATCACCTCTTTAAAGGCCAGTTCTCCAAAAGCAGCTACTTTCCAATGCTCTGAGGGCCAGGACTTCAGCATATGGATTTGGGAGGAGAGGCACAATTCAGCTCCTGAGGTGTTAGCAATATTTTACACAGGCTATAATAACCAACACCAGAGGCAGGAGCAAGGAGAAGGCAGGTACTGCTATCTACCTAACAGACTCCTAGAAGTTCCCTGAGGAAAGTCAGAGGCCTGGGTTGGGGAGCCAGTGGCTTTCTGCATCTCTCTGACCACTGAGAAAATAGTCAGGGGCCTGGGGTCGTGAGTCCAGAGGCAGAGGAATGGCTGTAGGGGCCAGAAAAAGTCCACAGAATGCATAGACCAGGGAGCCATCAGCCACACTGTAGAAGGAGATCTCCCCCACATCCCAGTCCAGGAAAATGCCCACCCTGTGGAGGGGCTGGGATGGACAGAGGTGCATGCTGGGGTAGGAGAGGGCCCGGAATCTCTTCTTGTAAAGCTCCACTGTCCAGAGGCCATGCTGGGGGGCCTTGGGTACCCTGCCCTCCCGACCCACACTTTCCTGGCACATGCCCAGAGTCCAGCCTTCCGGTCTCTGACCTCGACCTCCCAGTAATACCTCCCAGCCCAGAACCGCTGTTGGGCCAGGACACAGAGGTCCTGCTTGAATCTCTTGGTGCTAGGGGGCAGGTCTTGGTCGAAGAGCAGCTGCCGCACACTTTTCTGATCCTCAGACACAATGAGTTTGGGACTCGCGGTGTCGGGGTCCAGTTATGGGCTCACTGTGAAAAGAGAGAGGCTTAGGCACTGAGCTTGTGCTTCTCCGTCCCCACGTGTGTCCCCTCCATCTCTAGGTGGCCTTTGCTGTCCCCATGTCCTGTACCGGGAGCCTATTCCAACAGCCTGTCCCCAAGCAGGGAGACACACAGGCAGGAGGCTGGGAGGTCCTAGAGAGGGGGGAGCGTGACAGTAGGCGTGGCCAGGCCGTCTCCCAGTTTGCTGGTGTGTGTGCTGGGCTTGCTCAGGGGCTCGCAAGCCCTGCTTGTGAAAGAGACGGAAACACAGAGACAGACATAGAGAGAGACTGAGAGACAGAGCCAGATAAATGAGGCAGAGAAACAGAGAGATAGGGACTGAGACAGAGAGAAGCAGATACAGAGAGGCTCAGAGACAGAGACAGAGACAGAGAGACACACAGTGAGTGGCAGGCAGAAAGAGAAAGGTCAGAGGTGGTCAGAGGTAGTGAGAGGAGGGCTGCCAGGGCGGCATGCACGACACAGCCTGCCGTGGGCTCGGTGTGCCTTCCCTCTCCTCCGGACAGCTTCAGGAGGGCTTCACCTGCCCCGGTACTGAGACAAAGATTTTCCACAAACACTGATTCTTCAAGGAAGCCGCCTTTTCCCTTGTGACCCACACTTGGTCCGCCCAACTCTCCGCTCAAGCTGCCCTCCAGGGGGTGTGGCAAAGGAGGCAGGGCCAGCCTGGAGTCCAGCCGCCCCGCCCCGTAGCCTCTTTCCCAGCCACTGAGATCACCCACAGCCAACTGGCCCCTCCGATTCTGTGGCTGCCTGGGTGGCCCTTGGGATTCCCAGGTACCCTACCATTTCCTGAGCCTAAGTCCCTGCTAGCTTCAAAGATCGATGATCTTCTGTGGTCAGACCTCAGTTTTCTTCCCAGATGCCTCCTTTCTTCCTTCTGGAAGGAAATCCTGCTCCCCTTTCCTTTTCAGCAAGGACTGTTTGCTTGTTCTTCCCTGAACATGCTTCTTTCCCCCACATTTCTCCTCCTCTGTCTGCCCTGCCCTTCTCCCTTGGCTTTGAGCCACAGGCTGGAGCTTATTCATGGTTCATCTTCATTATGGCCACCTCTCTTCCTGAGGAAGTAGACGGGCTCCTCATGTTTCCCACCACTCCAATCCTATCGCCTGTCCAAAAATGTGTTTCACATTTTAAGGTCTCTGTGAAGGTTCTCAGCACAGAGAAATGTAACTGCTTCAGGAGACAGGAATGTTCCAGAAAGTTAAGTCAAATGAGTAGCTCTTTTGGAGCTCTCCTTGGAGTTTCTATGCAAAATAAGAACACATCTATGTTCTCAAAAGTCCCATAAAACAACTAGAGAGGAAGTCTCATTCCAAGGACAGCTGCTATACAAAAGAGTCCACTGGCCCCTGCCCTCCTTCCTGAGTCTGTCATGATATAGCCTTTCCACCCAGCCAAGGGTAAGCTCTACTTCCAACCTAGGAGCCCAAACCTTGGGACAGGTCCCCAGCTCCTGAGGTGATACATAAAGACACGGGCAGAGTGAAGAAGAAACAACCAACATTGATGACGACCATACTGGTCACTGCAGCAAACCCTCTGGTGTGCCAGATTCTGCTGTGGATACTATTGTGCTGGAACTACTGCAGCCCTTTAGGATGCATCATCCCCAGAAGACAGACACTTGGAGTTCACACCCAGAGCTCACAGCCGGCACCCTTCAGATGTGGCTTTGCTGTGCTCTGGATATGGATTGATTATCCCCCAAGGCTCACATGGTGGGAGTCTGGTCCTTAGAGTGGGATGCTGGGAGGTAGTGGGACCTTTAAGAGGAGGGCTGAGGCAAGGCAATTTGGTCATGGATATCACCTCAGAGATTAGTGTTGCTCTCTAGGGACCATTGTTAGCCAACAGGAGAGTGAGTTGTTAGGAAGAGTGAGCATGACCCCTCAGCTCCTCTTTCTTCCTGTCTTGCTATGTGATCTCTTGCACACACTTTTGCTATAATGCCACCCACCACGATAGACTCAATGCACAAGCAGATGACAAACTGATGGGACCACCTGATCTTGGACTTTCAGCCTCCAAAACCGGGAACTAAAGAAAACTCTTTTCTTCATAAAGTTAGCTTGCTTCAGGAATTTTGTTATAGTAACAGGAAAATAACTAGCACAGGGTTCATGCTCAGACTTGTTCATTTCTAAGAGCAAGGCATACAATCTGTCTGGGTTATCCAGTGAAGAATAGCCAACTAAGGGAGCCCTCAGAGATAAGGGTTTTCACTGGTGAGTTGTAATCAGGCTGTTCTAGAGCTGGGACCCCTACTGGCCTTTCCACTCCTGCTAGGTTTGAGGAGACAGGTGGAGCCTTGGCTCAGGGCTTGGCATGGAGGTCCGTGGTCTGATGGGGTAGAGCCCCCTACTCACCATGGAGTGGCGCTGCCACCGCCATGCTGGATTGCTGGCTCTGCTCCTGTCCTCTTCTCTCTGTCTCTTGCCTCAGTTGTGTCCTATGTGCATTCCTTTGACATTTCCCAAAGAGGCAGATGACTCCGGCCATCACGAGTCCCATGGCAAGGAGGGCGAGAGGCAGGGCTAGTCTCCATTTTGTGAACTGAGACCCTCTGGAGAGGTGTGCTGGGGGATTCCAAGGGGTCAAGATTAGCAAGGGAGAGAGCATTTTGTTTTCAGAATACACATGCTACAGGGTTCATGGGTTGAGGGGCTTGATGTTACAAACCATTACAAAAACATTCAGGAAAATGCATATATTTGTATATATGATGCAATGGACTGAATGTTTGTGTCCCCCAATTTCCTATGATGAATCTCCCCCACCCTGTATGGTGTTAGGAGGTGGGGCCTTTGAGAAATCAAGAGGTCATAAGGACAAAGCCTCATGAATGGAATTAGGGTCCCCGTAAAAGAGACCCCAGTGCCCCCTCACCCTTCCACACGTGAGGATCCAGTGAGAGGGGCAAGCTGTGAACTAGGAAGCTGCCCTCACCAGACACAAAATTTGCCACACCTTGACCTTACATGTTCAGCCTCCAGGACTCTAAGTAGCACATTTTTGTTGTTTATGAGAAACTGAGGCCAGGATGGACTCACTTGTCATCACCCATATGGGTGGCCACAGCAAGTACTGGGCCTTTGTGTGCATAGGAGAGAGATATTAGATATCTGTCTACTTGTAAATAAGCAAAAAGAGAGAATGATTAAAACACATGTGGCAAAATGTTAAAAATGTAGTGAATCTGGGTAAAGGATACAGAGTTCTCCATTATTCTTGCAAGTTATCTGTAAGTTGTTTTAAAATAAAACTTTCATTGAAGAGTAAAACAAGTCCTTCAGTAGGTAAATGGATAAATTGTGGTTTGTCAAGACAGTAGAGTATTATTAGCCCTCAAAAGAAATGATTTACACACCATGAAAAACATGGAAGAACCTTAAATACATTGTACTAGTGAAAAAAGCCAGTCTGAAGAGGTTATATCCTGTGTGACTCTAACTCTATGACATGTGGCAAAGGCAAAACTGTGAGGACAGCAGAGGTGGTCTCCAGGAGTGGGAGGGAGGGATGAACAGGCATGTATGCAGGATTTTTATGCTGGTAGAAGTTACACATATGTGCAGTTGGGGGTGTAGAGAAAATCTATGTACTTTCTGCTCACATTTTTTTGTTAGCTAAAACTGTTCTAAAATGTTTTGTGAAAGACCAAAACCTCATAAAACAATGATGGGGTATACGTTTTTTCTTCCCTCTGAAATGCAAGGCCCCTCGGGGGGCTCTCCCAGCACCCTCATCTCTGCCCCATGTCAGTGACCCCCACCCAGAATTGTGTCTTTCCAGGACCGCTGGCCAGGCTGTGGACAGAGACCGGCTACCCCTCTCCTCTTGCGCAGGCACCACAGCTGTGTCCTAATGTTCCTATGTCCATGGGCTTGGACACCTGCACTCAGTGATTTGCAAACAGAACTGAACAGGATACTCACCAGGCAGATGGCTCTCAGCTACCTTCCTCCCAGGGAGGAGGGAGTTGGAGATGGAGCAAGACAGGGCCTCCACAGCCCCACCCTGGAGGGCCACCCTGGACACCACAGCCAAGAGGCCAGTGGTGGGCGAGACTGAGAAGTTAGTCTCAGCACGCACTGTCTGTCCTCTGTGGTCTCTCCACTCTACCCAGGGCTCTGGGTACCAGCCCTCAGAAGCACACTCTGCCCAGACACCTCTGTCTTGGGTGTGGATCGCTTGGATTCGGGGCCTGGAGCCCAGCCCTGAAGGAAGAAGTATTAGCTGGAGTCTTTGTAGAGGCAGCTGCTTCCATGACAACAAGAATAACAACAACAACAACAAAGTCTCCAAGATGCTTGGTACTGACTAGGAAATTTTCACAAATGACCTGCCCTAATACAGCACTCTCTTTTCCTGGCTAAAATGGGACAAAATGAAACAGAAAACGTTTCAGAAGATTAGCTGAGTTTACTATGTCCCATGATTAGTGGGTGTGGGGATAGGAAGGACTTTGGTTGGTCTGACCCAAAGAAAAGTTCCAAGTCACCTTGGAAAATTGCCCCCCAGCCCCCCAAACAAAAACAACAAAAATCTCTCCACCTCTGCCTCTCTTGGTCTTGCTTCCTCTCTCTCCACCGCCTTTGATTTCTCTCTTCTGTACCTGTCACCCCTCCATCTCCTCTCCCTCCCTCCCTCCCTCCCTCCCTCTTCCTCTGTTTCTGGCCCTCCTGCTCTCTTGGTCTCTACCTCTCTTGCTCACTTCATTTCTCATTTTCTCCCTCTCTGTCTCTCCCTCCTTCTCTGTCAACCTCTGCTGTTGCTCTGTCTCTCTCTGCCTCTGCCCACCCCCGCCCCATCTCTTTCCCTGCTCCCTCTCTTTCCAGGGCAATGCACTCAGAACTGCATTCTCAGACCAGCGGAGGGCACGTGGCAGGGAAGGAATCTCAAGGATCTCAGGTCCTGCGGACTGTCACATTAGAAGCTCCAGGTAGGCCTGGGTAGCCCAGAAATCCTGGGCACGCCCTCACCTGCCACTTGCAGCCACAGGGTGGTGCTGGCATGGGCCCTGTCTTCCGTGAAGAGGCAGTGGTAGCTGCCGTTGTCCGACATGGTGATCCGGTGGATGCGCACCGCGGCCTGGCCCCCAGCCATGTCCCGGTCCACGAAGCTCGTCCTATTGCGATACTCGCGCATCTGCTCCTCGGGCTCATCCCGCCCTGCGCGGCGAACATGCACGGCGGGCGACAGCTCCTCGCGGAACCAGCGCAGCTCCATGCTGTGCGCGCTGATCCTGGGAGACAGCCAGCAGCGCAGCTCTGCTTCCTCGCCCACCACAGCCAGCACGGGGTCCTGGGGCCCCAGCACTTGGAAGTCCGCCTTCCCTGACGGGTGGGGTGAGACCCAGAGGGACTGCTTTAGCTCAGCCATCCTGGTCCTGGGGCACGAGGACCCCTAGATGCAGGGTGGGGGCAGGGACCCCGGGACCCCTAGGGCTGCAAGTTGGGGGTTCAGGGACTCGGGTGCCCTTAGGGCCGGAAACTTAGCCCACTGGGACAGGGACGTGGAGACCCCAGGGCTGCGTGGGTGCTGCTTACCGTTTCCCACAGGCGGGAGCTTCAGGAAGAGCAGGACAAGAAGGCCGCTGGCAGAGAGGCTGCTCCATCCCCCGTCCTTTGCCATCCCGGCTGGAGACAGACATACAGGGTAGATGGACATCAGCCATGTGGGACAGAAGCCACCACAAGCGTAATAGAAATTAAGGGAAAACTGTCTTGGTAGAGAATGGTTGCTCCCTGCACCACCCAGAGCTATTAATCTTGGAAATGCCTCACTTCTAAGCTTTGCCCTCCTGCTTACTCGGGGTGACAGAAACCCCAGAGACATCCTTGGGTATGAACGGAGTTTAAATTCTCACACACTCACAACAGGGTTTTTGCCCAGCCTGTAGCCCTTTACCCCCAGGGAACCCCAGGGTGTTAACAGGGAAAACCCAAACTCAGATCAAGCCACTCAGAGGTCAGAATGATGTCAACAGATTCCCACAATGTCCCGTTTTCCTGCTTGCCCGAAAGTACATCTACAGTTGGAGGTGGAGGACACAGGTCTCTCCCCCAGCAGGGATGGACACGCCACTACACCTGGTCATTTTTGGTGGCCATCATAATAAACTTGGCTTGAAGGGAAGGTTTTGGAAACGGCTGCTATCCAGGGGAGGTTCTTCCCAGGACACCTCACAGAGTTGCTCATTATGATTCTTATCTTCCAGGAAAGCCCAGGGGGGCCTCCCTGCCCCTTGGCATGGGGAGACAGTAAAGAAAGCTAAGACCTCGATGAGTGCCATGAAAACAGAAAATACTCACTTACCTCTGAGTCCAGCTGCCAGCTTCCCAGGAAGACACTGGTGACTTTGAGGAAATCAATTTAGTTTCCTGGCAATTCCAGGCAGACTGTACTCCAGCTTCTGTAGAATCCTCCTGTTACTCTTGTACAAATAACTATGATTTTTGGCAGTTGCAAAAGAAAAAAAAAGCATCCTGAGGGGGTATGCCCAACAGTACTGTAGGTGGAGGATAAACTTGCTGGTAGCAGGAGATAAGGGAAGTCACAAAGCCCAAGTGCCAGGGCCCATGGCAGGACAGCCTGCAGGGCCAGGGCCAGGCTGCCCAGGAGCCCCAAGGAGGGGACATGGGTAGCCAGTACTGGGATCCCAGCCAAGTGTAGAAGCTGGGGCATTCAGATATGGTTATTTGGTCATGGAGGGACTTTCAGATTGGTCAAGTGGGAAAGTTGTCATGATCATGTTGAAGCTGGTTGAATTCTCCATTGTCCCTGGAGGTGTCTGCCCAGATATTCAGGCCATCCTCTTGCTCATCCCTTCTCTGTGCCCATGGCTGGAGTCCTGGGAGTGTGTTCTCCCTGGAAGCCTGAATGGAGCTGCACTTAGAATCTTCACTCCTGAGAAAGGCCCTCATGTTCGTTCTTATTCTTCGTTCTGACTCACTCAAAGCCTGGATATGTTCCTGAAGAGTTTTGATGGGAGAAAAGCTACTTAGTTCTTCTCTGAGGGTGGAGTGTTTGCCTTAACTCAGCAGACAGGTACTGAGGACTACAACATGCTCTTGTGTGCATTCCTCTTTTTGGTAAGCAAGTTTCCCCCTCTTATATGTAGATGCAAGGATTATGCCTGCTCATTTACCTCATCCTGTGAATTGCTTTAACCAGGCAATGGCGCTGCCTAAAACCCAACCCACTTGTCCTTATGAGTCAGAAAGGAGGAATCAGTCTAGAGAGAGCTTCTCTTAGCCACTGTGGAAAACAATAGGAGACTTCTCAAAAACTAAAAGTGAAATGACTATATGGTCCAGCCATCTCACTGGAGTAGTCCACCGAATACTCCAAAGGAAATGCAATCAGTATGTTGAGAAACATCTGCACTCCTATGTTCGCTGCAGCACTGTTTGTGGTTGTCAACAAATGAGAGTAACCTGAGTGTCCACCAACAGATGAGTGGATGAAGAAAACGTGGCATCTGCATGCAATAGAGTACCATTGAGCCATGAAAAGAATTAAGTCCTCTCATTTACAACAATATGGATGGAACTAGAGATTGTTAAGTGAAATAGATAAGGCACTGCAAGACAAGTCATGCGTGATCTCTCAGATATGAGATCCAAAAGTTGATCTCCTGGAAGTTAAGAGAATAATGGTTCACCAGAGGCTGAAGAGAGTCAGAGGGAGGAAAGGTTAGAGGCTGGGGAAAGGCTGACAGAAGGGCACGAGGTTACAGTTAGGAGCAAGAAATTGTGGTGTGCTACTGCAGTGTATCTGCGTCGCTGTAAATAAGCAATTTTGTACTGTATGTCTCCAGAAATAAGATGAAAAGATATGGTGAATGTTTGAGAAAATAGGTATGTCTATCCGATTTAAATTTAACACAATGTATATGTGTGTCAAAACATCATATAAATATGTGTTCTATAATTTTATGAACCAGTTAAAAAGTAAATTTAAATTTAAAAAATACAGAAAGCTCATAAGATTAGCAGGGAAAATTGTAATAAAAGAAGGGTGTGGATTGTAATAGAAGCATGAGTATGGAGAGAAGCTGACATATGCATTACAAAGGTATCTGAAGGACATGTGGGGTCCCAGGTGGTAGATGGGTCACTTGGGCCAGGTGGTCCTCATCTTGCAGAGCTCACGAGAGTCTGGAGTCTCCAGCCTGGTCACAGGTCAGCCCCATCTGCCTCAGGTGTGATGTCTAAAGTCCAAAGGCAAGGGGACCACACACAAAGGCCACATGCTGCAGGATTCCATCTGCAGGGAATGATCAGGAGAGGTGGAGAGAGAGAAGGAGGGAGAGGAGAGGGAGAGACATCTGTGGTGTCAGGGACTGGAAAGGTAGAGCGGGTGTAGGCACGTAGATACAGCTGTAATGATTTGTCAGGTTCATTTTAGGGTGCTGGACATAGGTGAAATCGGTAGAGGTGGTAGTTGCAAAGCACTGTGAATATCTTAAGCCAAAGAATGGACTAGTTTTGAAAATGGTTAATTTTATGCTATGTAAATTTCACTTCAATTACTAAGAAAAAAAAAAGGCAGAATAAGCAAAACAAAAAAGGTACATGCCCACTGCCTAGTGGATGAATAGTTAAAAAACCCCCAAACTCCCAACACAGCCTCCTTACTTTGACTGAATACAAAGCTGGGGCTCTCGGCGCCTCCTGCAGGAAAATGTGCATCAGTGCACCCGCTGCTCTCCCTGGTCTCCCACAGCCCAACCCAGGCAGAGGCAGGGCTGCGTTCTTAACCCCCGGGGTTTTCCACGCTCCTTTCACACTGGTTTTGCTCCAGTGCTGAGCAGGGCTTGATGCCCTTTTTTCCTCAAGCTCTGCAGAAAAAGCTCACGACATTCCCCATGCAGAGCCTCTCGGTCCGGGCTCTCTGGGGACGAGCCTTCCCCTGCATCCCCTCTCTGGGAGAAGATCTCCCTTCATTCCTTCTCCCTTGCAGTAGCTTCTGCCTCAGTAGCCCTGTCTACAGCACTGTGCCTATCTTCACTCCTGGTGTGTGCAGTGATTTCCATCCCCACTCAGAGAACAGGCTGCCTCTCTCTGGGCTCTGCCCTCCTGAGCTGGCGCACAGGCTGCCCAGTTCTTCCCTATGGCTTCTTTTTTGTGTGTGTGCTCTGGTTTCTGATGTAAAACATATTGTCAGGTAAAAAGGCTGAAAACCAAGACCAGACCAGGCCACAACAAGCCTTTATTAGGGGAACAGATGTGCCGAAGTGTCTCTGAACAAAGGAGAGACAAAGGCAATATGGCCCGGACAGCAAGTGCCTTTTATAGAGACTGGGGTGGGGTTTGTAGGAGCTGAGGCGGGGTTGAGTGAGGTAGTGACTAGGGAATGGAGGAGCCGGTGATGTCACTAGGCGGTAGGAGGTGAGTGAGTATTAGGTTACTCTCTAGGTGGGAACAGGGGCATGCTGGGAAGAAGGGTTTGTTCTTTGGTGGAAGCAACCATCTTGGCATGACGTCACACAGGGGAGGGGGCAAGGCACCATAGAAAGAGGGCAACTACGGTACATAACAGCTGCTGAGGTGGTGGGAGACCTCTCACATATGTCCTCTCAGTATGAAAGCCTGGTGTGCAGGTGCCTCAGGGGAGTGACACTGTGTGGGAGCAGCAGACTGTGGGTACAGGACTGGGCTATGGGAGGAGCAGGGTCTGAGAGGAGTGCAGGTGAGTCAGAAGGTGGAGCAGGCAGGTGTGCTCCGCAGGAAGATAATCAGAATCAGCCAATAAAGGGATTAGGGCACTTGGCACCCAGCAGAAGATATTTATTTAAAACAGATCTTTGTGGGCTGGGGACTTAGCTCAGTGGTTCCATCGCCTGCCTCGCAAGCACAGGATGCCGAGTTCAATCCCTGGTACCAATAAAAATAAAACAGATCTTTGTGTCAGGCATTCAGGATGTTTTTTGAAGGCACTGGGGAATAAAGTGAAGAATACCTCTGATTCAGAAGTGTACATCCTCCTCCCGCTTCCTCTTCTTCTCCCTTTCCTCAGTCTCCTCCTTCTCTCCCCTCTCCTCATCTTCCTGCTCCTCTCCTTCTAAGAGCTTCATTAATAGATAATGTACATATCACACAACTCACTCATCCCAGGGCTTTTGATACATTCAGTGTTATGCAGTGTTAGAGGGGGAAAGGGCTTGGAGGATTGCACAGGGCATGTTGTAAGGCCTGGGTTGGACAAGGGGGTGTGTGTAGCACCTGCTGGCTGTACCTCAGACCAGCTGCTTACATATGCAAGGGTGGAGGGTGAGGGCAAAATGGGCCAGCCTCTCTTGTGGTATTGCTATTCATTGAAGACTGTTTTCCACTGCTTTCAGATTCCCTCTGGTGTTCTTGGTGAACTCTGGCATTTTCCCTCTTCCAGGGGGAGAGACAGAGTGAGAGTAGCTGCATTAGACCCAGAAATGGCAGGGAGTCAAGGTAAGGGCAGCAGGCCAGGCCCAAGCCACGATTGTCATGGGTGAGAGAAACCAGCATCTGTCTTCCTGAATCCACTTTGCAGCGTGTGTACCTCAGCAGAGCTCCGAACCCCGCAGTGTGAGCAGGGCTGATGCTGCTTGTTCTGCACGGCCTCACCACGAGCTTCACCAGTGACCGGCACGCTAAGGGACTCAACAAGTGGACAAGCCCAGTTGGTTCTCAAGCAGGATTTTCCTTTGGTCAAGGTCTTGCCCTTGCAAATTTGAAAAATAAAGCATGCTGCAGAGTTTTAAGTTATAAACAATGAATTTATTAATCAGGATCCAGCTATAATAAAAGAAATAGGTAGCCAATTTTACACATTCTTATTTGCAAGAATTGATTAAA